CAACGCATTGCTTATTTCTCCCCAGGAAGATGGCAGGGGAGAGACCTTGTGGCTAAGAGTGTTACAGCTGGTCCAAGGCGTGAGAATCGCCTGCCAGAGTCTCAGGGGACTCCCCAGGACCACAGTGCTGCTTTCCCAGAATATTCCCAGAACTCTTCACACAACCCCAACCTGATTTCCAGGAAGGAGTCTTAGAGAAGACTTGTAGTCGGAAGCTATGTGTTGGCATGAAGTTGTTGAGTGACCGGAAAGTCCTGGGAGGGACTAGAGCTGGAAGGGGCCTCTGAGGCCCTTTGATTTCATTCTCATTTTACAGAAGAGGAAACTGAGGCCCAGAGAGGGAAGTGATTGGCTCAGGTTGTAGAGGTAGTGAGCACCAGACCCTCTGAGGCTTGAGCCAATGGCTTTCCCACTGCACCACAAAGTATTTGCTTTATTTTTAGTTCTGTCATGTATGTATCCCTATCTAGTAACAGTCACTCATTTAGTCAATCAACAAACATAAATTCACCTTCCCACTCAGCACCAGGCACAGGTGCTAGAGAAACAAAGAAAAGAGTGACTAGCCCCAGTCTTGAAGGAGCTGGGGACATGCAGAGAAGGTGGGGTGGGCAGCCCTGCTTGAGCTCCCTCTGGGTTCCTGTTCCTTCCATCCTGGGTTTCTGTGCTGACCTTCACCTCCCAGGGTTAGATAACTCCCTGGAGCTCAGAGATCTGAATCTTTAGGACTTCCAGTCCTTGGGGTTTCCAAGATTTCCTTCTACTCTTGGGCTTTGGGACATCCCTGGGGCTTTCATGGAGGCTCCTCCATTTTTGCTCCCTATTGACTGGCAGGCTCCTAGATGAATCAGTCAGTCAATATACATTTATTGAGCACCTACTATGTGCCAGGCACAGTGCTAAGCTCTGGGAATACAAAAGGAGGCAAAAGACAGTCCCTGCTCTCAAGGGGCTTGTAATATAATAGAAGACATACATGCAAACAACTGTGTACTAACAAACTAAATAGAGAATAAATAGGAGATAATGAACAGAGAAGGCACTGGAATTCAGAGGGATTGGGGGAGGCTTCCTGTAGGAGGTGAGATTTTAGTTGGACCTTAAATAGCACAGGGCCCAGAGTTAGGAAGACCTGAGTTCAAATCTGGCCTCAGATGCTTAATAGCAGTGTGACCTTGGGCATTTAACCTCTCTGCCTCAGTTTCCTCAACTGTAAAGTAGGGACAATAATAGCATCTACCTTCCAGCATTATTATGGAGATCAAACGAGATAGTATTTGCAAAGTACTCAGCACAGTGCCTGGCACGCTTTCCTTCCTATTCTAACACTCACTACCCTGGCCACAGTCCCTGCCCTCATGGAGCTTATATTCTAATGGGAGAACATGCAAACAAATATATAATCAAAGCAAGCTAAGTACAGGATAAACAGGAAATAATTAACAGTGATGTTGGGGAAGCTTCCTCTAAGGAGTGGGATTTTAGTTGGGATTTAAAGAAAGTCAGGGAGGTCAGTAGCTGGAGAGGAGGGGGGAGGGTATACCAGGTAAGGGGGACAGCCAGAGAGAATGCCCAGAGCAGAAAGATGGAGGGTCTTGTTCATGGAGCAGCCAGGAGGCTGGGGTCACCAGGCTGAAGAGTACATGTCGGGGAGTAAAGGGTAAGAAGGCTGGGAAGGTAGGAGGGGGCTGAGTCATGAAGGGCTTTGAATGTCAAACAGAGCATTTTGTACTTGGTCCTGGAGGTAATAGGGAGCCACTGGAGTTTATTGAGGGGAAGGGGTACCAAGGTCATACCTTTGTTTTAAGATAATCACTTTGGTGGCTAAATTCAGGTATGAGGAGAGACTTGAGGAAGGGTGACCCCCCAGCATGCTATTGCAATAAGGCAGGTGTGAGGTGGTGAGGGCCAGCACCAGAGTGAGGGCAGTGTCAGAGGAGAGAAGTGGGAGTATTTCAGAGATTCTGCAAAGGTGAAATCACCAGGCCTTGGCGACAGCTTGGATATGGGGGGTAAGAGATAGTGAGGAGTCCAGGATGACTCCTAGGTTGTGAGCCTGAGGGACCAGGAAGATGGTGCTGCCTTCAACAGTAGTAGAAAAGGCAGGCGGCAGGGAGGGTGTAGGGGGAAGGATAATGAAGTCTGTTTTGGGAAGGTTGAGTTTAAGATGTCTACTGGACATCCAGTTTGAGATATCTGAAAGGTAGTTGGAGATGGGAGATTGGAGGTCGGCAGAGAGATTGGACCAGGAAAGGTAGATTTGAGAGTTATCATAATAGAGATGGTCATTAAATCCATTGGAACTAACAAGATCACCAACTGAAGTAGTCTAAAGGGAGAAGAGAAGAGGGCCCAGAACAGAGCCCTGAGGGTCACCTATGGTTCAAGGGCATGATCTGGAGGAGGAGAATCGGGAGAGAGTGTGGGGTGTCCTGAAAACCTAGAGAGAAGAGAGCATCAAGAAGGAGAAAGTGATCAGTGGCAGATGGCTCTTTGTGCAGGTCTGGGGTGGAAGAAATCACCAGCTGTTGTTTCTCATTGGATTTCACGATCATTTTGATTTCAGATTTCTGATAGAGTAGGTAGACATGTAGGAGCTGGGCAGTTTGCCTCTGTTCAGGAAGCCATCTTGGCCAGAAAGTCAGGGTGGGTCTCATCTAAATGTTGTACCTCTCCCAACACAGGCACAATGTTTTGTATACAGTAGTTTTTTAATAAAGGTTTGTTGAGTGAATTGGATTCACTTAGACAAGTAGTGTGGGAGAGTGGGCAAAACCTGGGATTTGTAGTCCCAGTACTTGAGTTAGAATCTGAATTCATCTATGGCCCTGCAGGTAGTAGGTGGCAAAGGCCCTTCCATTCTCCCCTCTGGGCCTCAGCTCCCTCCTTTATGAAATGAAGGAGGTGGAACATGCAACCCTCGAGGGCCATTCCGGCTTAGAATTCTGTGAGCCTTTGCCATCGCCTAGCCAACCATCAGGGCATAAGGTCCTGCATCCACTGGCTGTGGGAAATCGATCCTTTCCCTGATTCAAATGCAGGAGACTACTATGACCACAGGCAAGAAGATTAGAGGAAGGTAATATATTCCACAATGAGCAAAGGAGAATTGAGCTCACTCTGTTTTTCTCTTGCATTTGGATGCCAGAGAGGTTTGAGCTCAACATGATAGTATCTTCCTAGGCTGTGCAGAGAATGCAAAGCAGTCCAGTCATGCCTGAGTTTCTGTCTTATGCCTCTACAAAAGTCTGAGTGCCATGCAGTTAGGGACTGCACATCATTTAAGCTTCACAGCTCCCCTAATGCTTAGAGGAGCATTTTCCATCAGTCAATCAGCAAGCATTTATTATCTACCATGTACCAGTTACTGTGTTAGATGATGGGGAAAGAGGCAAAAAATGACAGTCCCTGCCTTCAGGGACAGCTAGGTGGTGCTGAAGTGGATAGAGCACCAGGCAGGCCTGGAGTCAGGAAGACCTGAGTTCGGATGTAGCCCCAAACACTTCCTATGTATGACAAGTCACTTAACCTCTGTTTGCTCCAGTCTCCTGACCTGTAAAATGTGTCAGAAGAGCACCTACCTCCAAGTGCTGCTGTGAGGATCAAAGGCGATCATGTTTATAAAGCGTTTGGCATAGTGCCTGGCACATACTAGGCACTTTATAAATGTTAGCTGCCAAGGAACTTATCTTCCCTGGGGGCGACAACACATGAAGATAGATATTTGGATAGATTTTTGTTCTTTAGTCAGTTCAATTATGTCTGACTCTCCATGACCCCATTTGAGGTTTTCCTGGCAAAGATCCTGGAGTGGTTTGCCATTTCCTTCTCCAGCTCATTTTACAGATGAGGAAACTGAGGCAAACAGGGTGAAGTAACTTGCCCAGGGTCACATGCCTAGTAAATGTCTTAGGCTGGATTTGAACTCAGGTCTTCCTGACTCCCAGCCTGCCTGGTGCTCTATCCTTTGCGGTGCAGCCTACCTGCCTAGATAGATAGATAGATAATAAATTAATACAAAGTAATTTGGTGGGAAAGGTAGTAACAGTTGATGGGAGAAAATCTGGAAAGGTTTCATGTAGGAAATGGGTGACCCTTGAGCTGAGCATTGTGGGAAATTAAGGTTTCTAAGAAGAGGGGGAAGTGGGAAGGGAGATCATCCCAAGCCTGGGGACAGCCAATGCAGTCATATCATGTGTGAGGAACAGCCAGAAGGACAGCTCAGCTGAAATGGAGAGGGTGAGGAGGGAGGGCGTAATGTAGAATCAGTCTGGAAAGGTTCCGTTGAATCCAGATTGGGAAGTGTTTTAAATGCCAGACAGAGTAGTTTGTAATTTACCCCAGAGGTAATGGGGAATCACTGGAATTTACCGAGAAGGGAAGTGACCGGGCAGGTCTGTGCTTTCAGAATCACTTTGGCAGCTGTGTGGAGGATGGATTGGCGTGGGAGAGACTGGAGGCAGGGAGACCAATTAGGAGATTACTGGGAGGTGATGAAGGCCTGAGCAGTAGGCATTTAAGACATTCATCTCATCAATCATTTATTAAACACTTAAACATTTATTAAGCACTTAGTGTGTACTGCATCCTGTCCTAGGTGCTAGGGAGACAAAGAAAGTTCCAAACAATCTCTGTTTTCAGGAGTGGTACATTCTAATGGGGGAGATAATGTGCTTATACATGGACACATACAGGATAGTACAGAGTAGATGGAAAGTACTCTTCTTTCCAAGAAGACCCTTCAGGACTCAGTGAGCCACCTACTGGCTCCCCACTGCTCTCTTGGGGTAAATTTGGGGGATCCTGGGCCGCCTTTAAGCTCAGTTCCCCAGAGCTACTGCACATCCTAGATTATGCCTGTTTACTTTCCCAGTGGGACTTCCATCCACCACTGACCCTAGGAAGGCTGAGCCAAGCAACCAAGGGCAGGCTCCATTTCTAGAATGTGTCTCCTACCCCATCTGTGATTGAGAATGTGTCTCTCTGCTTTGTTTCAACAGGGGATCTGCTTCACTAGCCTGGCACTGGGGCAACAGCTCTTACAGTGGCTCCTTTCGCATATCTGAGCGCCGGTGCTCTGATGACCCTCTACTCATCTGCAACCAGCTCACCATCTTCAGCATGGTGGCCAGTGATACCGGCTATTTCACCTGTAGCTACAGGGACAGCTCTGATTCGGAGGACCCAAGTTTCATGACCAGGGTGTACGTGTATGTCAAAAGTGAGTGTGGCCTCCCCTGGCCCCAGCCCCACCTCCCCACCTTATGCCAATTACATGCTAGCATTTGCTGTGCTCTCTGGGCCATCAACCACAGGGATGGGTTCAATACCTTTCTAGGGATAGTGATACCTCATGGGCTAGAAAATACCAAAATCCAAGCTAAGGCACCATGGGAAGATGGGAAGACAATGGATGAGGAAGGAGGTCTGTGAGACCTTAGGCTAGACACTTAACCTTTTACAGCCTCAGTTTCCTCCTCTGAAAAAATGAGGCTCTTGGGTCATAGATTTAGGACTGGAAGGGGCTTTCCAGGCCATTTAGTCTATGCACTTCATTTTCTAGAAAAGAAAACTGAGGCCTGGAAATTGAAGTCACATTCCATGACAGAGGCCAGATTCAAATCTAGGCCTTCTGAATCCAGAACCAGTGATCTTTTCACCATACTGCTGCTTTGAACTAAGCCTTCATGCTAGCTCTGAATTTAGAAGAGAGAATGTCAGAGCCAGGAGGGATCCTAGAATAGAGAATATCAAAGCTGGAAAAGATGTCTGAGTGGAGAAGTAGATGGAGTGCTAGCCTAGAATCAGGGAGATTTGAGTTCAAATCTGGCCTCAGAAACTTACTAGCTGTGTGACCCTGGGCAAGTTGCTTAACCTCTGTCTGCCTCAGTTTCCTTATCTGTAAATGGAGATAATAACACCACCACCTCACAAGGTTGCGGTGAGGCTCAAATGAAACACAATCTGTAAGGTACTTAGCCTAGGGCCTGGCACATAGTAGGCACTTAATCAAGGCTTGTTTCCTTCCTTCTCATTTTTTTCAGAGATGCTAGAAATTGAAACCCAGAAATGCCTTACCTAGGGTCCCAGAGTAGCAAGAGGAAAACACTAGCTTTGGCAGAGTACCTGATTTTTGAATTCTGCCTCTTCTGCTATGTTAAACAGCCCCTCTCCCTGGCCTCCTACTAGAGCATGGATGAGGAAGGAATCAGTGGAGTTGAGAAAGCTTTGGGGGTGGGAGTGGGGTTAGGAGATCCTCCATCAAAAGGGCTATCCCTTTCCAATAAAATTTGTATTTTTGTAACATTTTAAGCTTTCCAAGCTTTTTCCACATTCCTTACCACAATCCTGTGGATTAGATAGTGTAAGGATTATCCCTATTTTTCAGACAAAGGAAACAGACTCAGAGAGAAGTCATGCCCTTCATCACCCAGCTAATAAGCGTCAAAGGCCAGGGACTCAAACTCAGGTTGTCTGACTCCAAGTCCAGTGGCCTTTCTCCCACCCCCAGTGCCTGCCACTGCTGTGTCCTTTCCCAGACTGGGCTTAGAGGCTGCTTCACTTTCCCCTTTTCTCCCCATCTTTTGGCCTCATTTAAGGCTAGTATCCTTTTTCCCATGGATGCCTTGAAACTTGAGCTGGAGGTGGGAGGCTTGGCTTTGGGGGCCCTTTCCTTCCAGCTGAAGAGGAAGGTGCCTCCCACCTGGTCCTTTTCTCCAGCACCTCCCTAGTGATGGGCCGTCTGGGGCCAGCCCTCCTCTTTGCTCCAATTGGAATTCTAATTTCCTCTTTGAGCATACCATGGCCACCTCCTCCGACCCCTGGGCCACGGCAGGCGTCTTCTCCTGGAAATGTGCTTCAGGCCCTTCCAGGTCGGTTCCTATGGAGTCATTGTCCCTCACCTCTCCTGACTGAGCTGTCGATTCCATTAGGAGACTAATTTCCTCTCCCAGCCATCCTCCAGCCCCCTCATCCTTCCCAGTGCTCGTGCTGAGCTGTATGGTCTCCTCATTATACATCACTCGTCAGCCAGGAGCACAGAATCACAGAACTGGGAGGGACCTCTGAAGGTTTAGCATGAACCATATTTGAACCCAAATCCCCTCTATGACACCCCTTACAGGGATCATTTAAGCCTCTGCTAAAAACCTCCAGTGATGGAAGAATTCCCCACCTTTTGAGGAAGCTCATTGCTAGTATGGAGCTGTTATAATTATTTATGCCTTTCATTTTGTTCTCTTGTCTTACCACTATAGCTAGCATTTTGAGAACTATGTCAAATAATTATCAGGAGAACTGGGTATCCTTGCTTTACCCCTGTTTGTATTGGGAAAACTTAGAGTGTTTCTCCATTGCAAACAGTGCTAGCTCTTGGGTTTAAATATATGTCTTTGATCATATTAAAGATGAGCCTTTCAATCTCTATGCTTTTAGGGTTTGTAACAGATGAGATTTAAAGTTTATCAAAGGCTTTTTTCAGCATCCATCGAATAATTGTGACTTTTAAAATCTTTGTTATTTGTAGGGTTAATTTTACTTTTATTTGTTTGTTTGTTTGTTTGTTCCCTTATTTATCTGACCAGAGCTGTGATTTTATCAGTACAAGGAACTCCCAGTGAGAAATTTCCTCTATCAATGCAAATTGTTATTTTCTCTGCCACTTAGAGTCTGAGAGGTGCTTTACATATATATACATGTGTATGTATATATATAATATCTATTAATATATATATCGATAAATGATATATATCTAACATATAGTCCTGAGCACAGTGCCTAGCACATGGTAGGTACTTAACAAATTTTTATTGGTTGATTGATATGTTTATAGATATACATTTATAGATAAATGGTATGAGTGTGCGTGCATGTGTGTGTGTAATGAACTTTAAATGTTAACTAGCTGGTCCTGGAGGTAGATGAGAAGCCACTGCTTTCCATTTCCACACAAACATAAGCTCATTGTGTTCTTGTTTGTGAATCATTCTTACATCCTTGATATGACTCCAATTCAGTCACCGGGAATTATTTTCTGAACGTGTTTCTGTAAGTCAGGATTTTATTTAGCATTTCTTCATCAATGTTCATTAGGGAGATGGGGCTATAGATCTCTATCTTTGCTTTTTTTGGATATTGGGACCATTTCTGTCTCATCATAAAAGGCAGTCGGCACAGTGCCTTCTGTCCCTATTTTTGAGAATAACTTTGGTAGCATAATCTTTGCTTTTTCACTGTCACTCACACACTGTGATTTTTTAAAAATTAGCAAGATATAAAATTACCCCTCTCCCCCCACTTCTGTGTCTCCATGTCACCCTTTCTTCATGCAAATAAACATTTCATTTCTTAATCTTTCATTACCACCTGAAACTATTTAGCTTTCAATTTGGTCAGTTTAAAAATTTAAAACCTGGATCACCTGGCTTCCTTTGAGGAAATGATTCAAGTGTGTCCCTTTTTGTGAGCATATTCTTTGATGTTTTGGCTTACCCTTTTGAGATTTGTTATGTTGGGGTTTCAGCTGAGGTCCTTTACTCTCAGGAATGTCTCATTCCAATTTTGGATTTCTTGTAACTCCAGAGTCATCCCAGGATGCCTATGTAGATTGTTTTTTTCTTAGAATCAAAAGTTTTTTTTTTCTCCTATGCAAGATTTGGTCTTTGATATTGTCGTTCCAAAATTGGACTGTGTTTCTTGATAATTTAAACTCAAGGTTTATTTCTGCTGATGTCTTAAGGATTTCCTTGACCCAAACTTAGCCATCTGCTTCCAATAGCTCTGGGTAGGGTTTTTCTATGATTTCGTAGAGTATGGCATTCAGCTTTTCTTTTCATGATATTTTTCAGGAAGACTTCTAATCTATAGATTAATTCTCTGCAGCCTATCCTCAACTTCAGTATTATTGTTTGCAGAACTCTTGTGTTTCATTCTTTTTTAAAAAAAAATTCCTTCTTTGTCTCCTTTTTTTTTGGTATTACTTTTATATTGTCTTTTTTTTTTCCTTCTAGAATCTACTGATAGAAAGAGTCATTCTATCTTTTGTTCTAAGGTCTCTAGTCTCTGGCTAAACTTGTTGATTTTCACTTTAAGAATTCTTTTTCCAGGAATTACTTCTTTGATCTCTTCTCTTATTTCTTTGACTGCTTTTCTGAACCAATCTGGAGGTTCCTAGAGTCATTCTACTGGAGTGCCCAGACCAATGAGATGGTGGGTTGGTCTTCTTACCATTGCTGAGTCTTCTGAATTTGGAGACTTTTTAACTTGTATTATTTGATATGGTTAACAGAAAGCTGCCCCTATGGGATCTCTAGCTCTTAGTTTTCCTTCATCACCATTTTATGGAGGAGGAAACTGAGGCTCAGGACTTTAATTAACTTGCTGAAACATCACAAGGCTACCGCATAACAAAGCCGTGGGACTTTAGATAAATCACAAGCCTCAGTTTCTTCCTCTATAAAGTGAGAGAATTAACCCACAAGCTCACCGATGTCCCTTCTAACTCTAAATCCTCAGAATCCATGAATCTAGGGAGGAATCCAAGAACTTAAGGGGGAGGTTTGATTTGGATTGAGCAAATGAAGGAATCTTTTGTTCATCTTTTCCTTTGCTTTTCTGTCATCCCACAAACATTTTTCAAGCATCATCCATGTGCAGGAACTCCATAAGATAAAAAGAAGATTAAGATGTGGTCCTGGTCCCCTAAGGGATTTCCAGTGTAGTTGGGGTGGGTTGATTGGACCTGCCATCCCACTGGTATTGAGCACTCCCTTGATCAGTGCAGATTGGCTACTCTTTTTCAATTTGTAGTCTCAGAGGTTTGCCTACAGGACACCCAGAGGTTTCCCAGGCTCACAAAGCCAATATGTGTCCAAGGCAGGACATCAAAGCAGATTTTTTGACTCCAAGGCCGTCCATAATCCATTGAACCACCCAGCTTCTCTTAGCAGGAGCAATAGGACATATTTGGAAGGGGGGGGGAGGCAGACACATTGAATCACAGATTGTCAAAACTGAAAAGAACATTGGAGACCACACATTCAACTCCTTCCTTCAAGAGAGGGGAATATTAAAATCCTGGGAAGAGATGTACTTTGCCTGAGGTCACACAACTGCAAATGTCTGAGCAAGGACCCAAAGCTAGGCTTTGAAAATTAGTCTAGATGATATCTAAGGAGTGCTCCTTCAGTTCTAGTATCCTCTGGGCTCATTTCCATTCTATTC